TGATGGCTTTTCCTACCATGATGCTATACACCGACTATCACAAGCCTAGGTCGAGCCGTTTAGATTTGTGCCGCAATTCTGCATTTTCCTCCCTATACCTTAAGTTAAGGGGGGGTAATCCGAAAACGAGTTGGGATGTCGAAGCTGGGGGTCGAAGGTCAAAGGTCAAGATGTGTAAAATAAGGGGGAACATTCACTCCCGATATTCGGGACGTAACAGTTGGGCACAAATCTTAACCGCTCGACGTACGGTCAGCGTCCGTCCGTCTCGTCCGTGCGTCCGTCCGTTTATGCGATTCTACAAGCTGCATCTGACTATGTCAGATGAGCTAAAAAACAACGTAAAGATTTAAATCCATTATTGACACTCCAACCACATTTATGCATACCTACATACATGACTAATTATGTTTTCAATTTAAACAAATGCCAACAATAGTCTTTCATGTTGACATGTATTATGCAACAATATTCCTGCCTACATGTACGTATTCTCATTGACAGACTTGGCAAAACATGCAGCCACGTAGCAGCCCTGCTATTCAAAGTCGACGTCATCAACTAGTCGGGCATGTGAATGGAATAAATCATTTCGCAAAGAAGTAAGTATACTGAAAATAAATATCATTTGTTTCTCAATTGGCCGACCTACTTCGTAAATGTTACTAAAACATATTCCCATTACACTATTAAAATGATTTATATGTATTTTGACAGTACGTCTAATCGCTTACTACATCGTTGCTTAAAAATACATTATCTATTATCTACAAATCTATTATTATTCACTCCTGATTATATCAGGAGGCTATCAATACTACTATTACTATTACTATTACTATCAATAATTTACTACTATATACTACTATTGATAGACTCCTGATTATATTGTAGTAGTTTATTTTAATAGGTGCATTTTAATGTTACAGTTACAGCCAGTTACCATCGCAGATTCACAGGACATTTTAAAAGGTGCCAGAAGGAAGAATGTAACTTCAGTGTCTGGAACAGAAAAAGCTCAGCTTTCGAGTGATGCTGTTCTCCTTTCCTTGAAGCAGGCATGTTTGAACGCCATGTTCTTTGACACGATCCACCCTGTCGGCAATGATGGCGAGGAAACTGACAGTGCTGACAAGGAGCAGTTCGAGACCTATAGATCCCCTTATCTCACGTCCTTTTATATTGACTTTATTGTATGGATAAAATGCGAGTTGCACGTGGAGAGGATTACGTACGATGAAAAGTTCTGTCGGCGAGCAGTACGTATACTGCTATAGTACTGTGTAGGGATTTGTTCATGCGACACATACTTCCAGAGTTAATTACTTATACTATTAATTACTAGCATACTTATATTATTGGCTTTATATAGGTAATTTCTGTGTATTGATCTACTTGGGTGATTATGTGTATCTAACAAAGATATTACTAATGTATACGTACTGTGTATAACACATTTTTAAATTTGAAAATTATAAATGATCATAGGTTTTTCTAATTGAATGCACCTACGTCAGTTAATAGATGTTGCTTATTTCAGCTAACAAAACTGTCCATACATTCATGTTTGCTGATTTTGTGAGCTTGTGATTAAATCCGAACCGTGAATTGACCATTTACTGCTACAGGTTTCTAAGCTAGTTGTCATAACTATAGCAAATGCAGATATAACTAGAGGCACTACGGAGTGCATACCTCTGCCAAGGACATACGCCATACGACTCACGAACACACGAATAAGCTAGGCAGAGTGCACTGACGGAGTGCATATGTGTTACGAGCTGGCTCGCTGCGTTGGCTCGCTGGCTAACGCGCTAATATCGATCGCGCGAACACACGAACACTAGACTGGTACCTGGTCCCACCTCTCGGCTTAGTTACTCGATGGGGGAATCGAGGTGGGAGCGAGTACCAGTCTAAGGCAAACACACGAGAGCGAAAACATAACCTCCTCCAACTCCGTTGGGCGGAGGTAATGAATGTATTAGGTAATGAATAGGTAGGAATGAATTGTATTAGGTAAAATAAATTTTTGATTGACAACTTTTAGTAATTATTGTTAGTGATGGGAATCGGCTGGAATTTCATAATAAAAAATGGAGTAAAGCTGAAGACAACCTGACCGAAGGAGACATCGTTCTAGTCGTCGACGACAAAGTAAAACGTGGACATTGGAAAATGGCCGAGATCGTCCAAGTCTACTTCGGTGACAACGATTTTGTCCGAGTTGTTGACGTGAAATACGCGGATGGAACCGTCTTCAAACGACCAGTAACAAAACTCATCCTCTTGATGAAGAAGTCCGAGAGACTCGACGTTTAGGATTCGAATGGCAAGAGTGCCAATAGACTATTGGACTGTTTTGTGTGTGTATTATTAAGTATCATTCACCTCTGGACTGTGTATGTTGTGTTGGTTCATGTTATGGACTTTTAGTGTTTCTTATGGACTGTTGTTCATTTACGTTTTGGAACAAGGACACTTACTTGAGTTAAGGACTGTCGTTTCGTTTGCGCTTGTCCAGCGCAAGGCCGTACGCAGGAAATTTTCTGTAGGGGGGCAAATACGCAGGAAATTTTCTGTAGGGGGGCAAATACGCAGGAAATTTTCTGTAGGGGGGGCAAAGGTACTCCCCACGCCCTCTATTGCCCTATTTGTCCCATTAAAAGGCATACTCTGAAAATCTCTAGGGGGGCAACTGCCCCTGCTGCCCCCTGCTGCGTACGGCCATGGGGGCAACTGCCCCTGCTGCCCCCCTGCTGCGTACGGACCTGGTCCAGCGGGACTTGTGATCATCGCGTACACAAGGACTAAACATTCGTTGTTCGAAAAGGATTACTGGTGATTCATTATTCGTAAAAGATTATCATATAGCTCGAGTAATTTGGTTCAGAGGACTGTTTGAACTTTGTCTTTCGACAATCAGGACAATCACGCTCACTCATTGTTCGACAATCGCGCATACTCGTTACTCCCGTTCTAATCTAAGTTGTGAGAATGTTATCGCGTTTTGTGAAAGTTACTAAGTTGTCACGTGGATTGAGATACTATGGTCTGCGCTTTCGACATCCCTGTCGAATGATGTCCCCCGGAATGTTGCGGCATTCCACCGGAGTACGCATTTTCTTTTCGGTATCGCCCGCTAGGGGCGCTTATGTTTTTGTAAACAATGCAAATGGCAGCGTGTTCATGGCAATGTGAATCTTCCACGATTGAATAATATATACGACTGTTTCACGAGTACACACGTCTTCATTATTCAATGTGTTCAAATTATTAAAAGTAAGCACCGTCACAGGTGGTCACCCCTACACATTGAATAATGAACGTGACTTAAACAATGCCGTGATGTGATGTGATGTGCAATGAGTGATGTGTGCGTTTGAGCACACACACGCGCCCACACGTGCATATGCTCGCTCGCACGTACGCATGCACACAGAGGGAGAGAGAGAAAGAGAGAGTTTAAGAATGTGCGTTAGTTTAACATGTCTTGATAATAAAACGAAAATTACATGATTAGTTATAGTGATCTTTAGTGATCACATATTGTTGCTCATGAAGAGAATAGTTCTACTAAAAAGATAATTGTTGTAGTCAGAATGAAGGCTGTACATTTACTCAAAAGCGCCTCAAATACCATCTCCTGCGACCTACATTTTCAACATTTTCTGGGGAAGGACCCCCAGACCCCCCGCCTCTGTGCGTACACATCCATTTCACCCTAGCTACGCCCCTGTCTTGACAGACTTGAGAAACGTCACGAATTCTATTTTTATCTTCCAATCACAGGTCGGAGCAATTCCTCCGTTTAACCGCATGTAATTGTAGAGCATGAGTCACTATGACTCCAAGTTCGACTCACGCAGTAGCAGTCACAGGCACTTGGAGCGTTTCAATAAAATATAATGCTAAATAAATATGTAGGTAAATAGGTAATTATTTATGGACTATTCTTACGGCATGCAACATACACCATAGATAGTGTTTGCGATACCATACCCCGTATATATATAATGATTTAGTCGGTTTATATTTAGTGTTAGTGTTAGTGTTAGGGTTAGGGTTGGGATTAGCATTGGGATTAGGGCTAGGGTTAGGTTTTTTGCATCATTCCTTGATAAACGGAAAGTCTGATGCGGAAGTTGATATGCGTAGTATCATGTGTTGCACGTCGTAAGAATAGTCCATAAATAATTGTTACGACTGGTCGTAAGAATAGCCACGACCAAATAAATATGAAATCTATTTACTACCAAAGTACTCTCTACTCTCTTTCACCTATTATTGCCGACAATTTCCTGTAAATGCCGTCCAAATGCTCATCTGCAACACACGCTGGCTGCCGCACGCTAGCTGCTGCCCGCTGACACATAAATACAAGTGCCGCGGAGCGACAGCGCTCATCTAACGTCTACTGCGGTGACTCTGTGGTGGAGTGGTGGGATTCTAGTAAACCCTGTTAGTCCCAAATGTGTCCACATCCCCGCCGAAACAGTGGAAGGCACAGGTATTGTATCAGGAACCTTCTGAAAGGAATGTTTGTTGGAATCGTT